TTTTTTTTTATTTTGTTGAATAGTTAGGATGAGACTTTGAGGTGTAACGGTGTATAAACTATTTGTCAAATGACCAGAATATATAAAAGTAGTATCTTCGAAAACGGAACAACTTCCACTCCGGTTGGTCGAATTGTTGTCCTTCCCTTAACTATCAACCCTTTCTATCCAAAACTGGAATAGAGATAATGTTTTTTTTAATAATATCTAGAACATAATGATAATTGTTCAAACAAATATTAACACCATTATTTAAAGCTAGATAAACAGTCCCTATAGCTTGTGCAACAACTTTTGCTGCATTGCCCATCCTAAGGAATGTTTCGCTACTATCCAATTTTCTGCTTCTTGCCATCATTTGCAAATCATTGCAAATATGTGAGCCACAACCGGTATCTAATACCTAAGAAACATCATTAACTGATAAGTTAGCTTAACAAAATAAACACATGAACTCTTCAGGCTTGCAAGATATTCCTTGCAATTCCTCTTCCAATGCCCCAATTTGTCACAATGGAAACACTTTTGATCAGTCAATTTGTTTTGCTCAAGAATACATTCAATTGGATTATTAGCCACTTTAGTAGAATAATCTACAAAAATAAACGAAGCAGAATATGAGCAGACTATGGAAAATATATTCATTTAATATAAGATCTTGGATATTAAATGTCTCCCACTATTTTAAATAAACCCCATAAAATTTTGAAAATCAAATTTTCATAGTGGCCTTGAAGCCCAATAAAAATATTCCATATCTCAATATTATGAGTACGCATGGAATATTTATATTGGTAGTTAACTTTTAACAATTGTATCACTATACAATCTTCATGATTATTTTGCCTCACCTTTCCTATATACCCCAATTTTATGAGCCCATATAATACTAAGTGTCAAATTAAACCCATCAAAACTTCGTGATAATGGCGCATCGAGATGTCCCACGACTCATGACCAACACAAAGACGAATCCATCTCACGAGCATCTCAATGCTTAGTAGAGATCACAGCTTTCAGTACAAAGTTACCCCACGACTCATGGTCAGTAACTAGGTACCGTAGCATCGTCATGTTGTTGTAAGTATTTTTACCGGAGTAGAATCGAAAGATTCAACACCGGGTCGTATCGCAAGGAAGGTTAGCCGGATTCAATTGCACGATTATTAAATCACGATAAAGA